CTTTGTCGAGGCAGGCTAACGTCCTTACCCCCAACGAGGCAGAGGCAGGCTGACAACAAAAATTTGCTGCCGAGGCAGGCTAGACAACTAGATTTCGCTGTCGAGGCACGGCTGGGCACAGGCTTTCTATCCATACACCATATACCATATGGAACCAAACTTGTATGGATTACGGATTTTGCTTCGTATGGAAACTTATTCCATACGTATGGAATACAAAAGATGACGTCATATGGGACCGCACTTTCCCTATTAGGAAGGTGGTAAGTACAGCGCCTCGCACTCTCTTTTCATCCACTACCCTATGGCTGGCACCGATCCAACAATATCGCGATGCACTATGCACCAGAAAAGACATGCACTCGCTCGGCGGGCGCTAGAGGTACGGAATGAGTATTAATGCTTATCTTGGAGAGACATGGTACTATTTCTGCAGTTCTTGACATAGCGATATGTCAGATTGTATTGCCGACAGAGAGTAGCGACTCGTCTGTCGCAAAGAAGAACAAAGGGATCAACATTCTTCCGCTGTATTTCCATACGTATGGAATAGAAGCATATCATATGGAATACGATTAGTCCATATGGAACGTTCCATATGGATTAACTTATTCCATACGTTTATGGATAGAAAGCCTGGCTGGGCAAGGCTGGGCAGGGGCAGGCTCAGGCAACGGCGGGGCGCTTGAATTCACTGAGGCCATGATCTTCCGTGACGAACTGAACTGTAAATCCTATTACGCCCAAACAATTTGGCGACGTCCAATTGTCGGGAACTATATGGATCGAGGAAAGAGCATTTTGCAAGACTCGCTTTACCAACTCTTTCTTGTTGTCATGGCCCCATTGGAGGTCATTTTTAACAGTATCACCGGATCTTGGGAGGAAATCATCTGCCGCGGGACAAATATACCGGATAAAGTCACGAAAGGCAGGGTGTTCAACATGAGCAAAGGAGAGACTGCAGGCGACTGTAACGGGCTAGGCCCGAGAATGGCTCGGCTGCGCTCTCGCCTCCTATCGACAAGCTGCAAATGGCGGGACCCGACAACAAGCGAGATTAGCAGCGGGGAGCTCAGGAGCTCAAGAGCTCCTCGACCTCTCCTTTTCTTGTTCCTTCTTCAGCTTTGGATATTCGTTAGAATCATCTAGTCAGTTGTCAATATACTCGCTAGACCGTTACAGCGACCGTGTAGCGGCAGTACAACTCGCGCAAAGTATCCTGGTCCAGAGCATCTGCCCTTGTCGTGGCTTTTCGTTTCTTGGAAGAAGGTAGAGTTCCCTCAGGAACGAAGTGATGTCTCCCAGACAATTTTGCGTCACTTCCCGCATGGCTTCTTGTCTCAAAGAAATTATGATGTTGTGCTCCCTGCGGAGATGATGGACAATGGTGGAAGATCCACCGGAACAGTTATATTTCTTCTCTCTCTTCTTGTCAAAATATGGCCGGCAATGCCACCATTTTGTTCCGTTGTGTCCGACCCAGGCTGCTGGCAGGCTCTTGCCATCTTCTATTCGACAATGCTTCCAGATTGGGGATGTCCTTCTGCGGGAGACGCTAGGAGTTAACGGAGATGACGGCATCAGCGAACAGTTGTCCGCTATAGTGTCAGAACCATCCAGGTGGCTGGCACTGCCAACAACACTAGCAGTGTCAGACAAATCGACGATGGAAGACATGATCCACAGAACGGCAGGTAGACAGTAGGAGTGGCGATGGTCGAGTGTGTTGAGGGGAGAATTGTCTCTTCCCTTCAATCGTGGGCAGAGTTCACCCTTACGTAGTACACAACGTTCTTGTCTGCCTTCGAGATGCTTGAGAGTGGACAAGTACCAATACCTGGATATCGTTTTTCCATGGTCATTTGGTCCATGGAGAAAGGTGCGCAACCGACTACTTCCAATCATTTGAATCCTCCAACTATTGTTCACCACAGCTGTGATCACTCCATCTGGAATGCAGCGTGAAACTGCCCAGTATCTGGGACCCACCACCGACTTCCCAGTTTGGCACTTTCTTCTGTTTGCTGGCCAATGGCTGGCCCGCTGAGTACCAGTTTCAAACGAAAACGCTGGTCGTGCCGCCAGCGTGGACGCGCAACCGGCAAGATAGTCGGCCTCGTCAGCATTGACTATTGAGCTTGTCATTCAACCTGCGCATGTGGGACCGAACGGCTGGGCCGCCCTTACAGTCCAGTCTTTGGCGCCTGTGCTTTGCCACTATAACGCATGGCCGGCAACGTGGACGGAAATTCTCGAGGCACAAACAGCTTCTAACAGGATTGGGCTTGGCTTAATCTGGGATTTAGGTCAGGATGTCATCTCGCACATTTGAAAGGAACGACAGAGACCACAATATAGTCTCATGTATATAGCATTCTCTCCTTAAATCGATGACTTGGATGAATATCTCTGGCCTTGATGGAACTAATCTCAGACGGAAGCCCTTAGAAGGGTGAAATTAGTAGTAGCCTATACTGTATAGACTGGTATACTGATCGGCGGATCATTCAAGATAACATTACACGACGGAGCCGTCTACCCTACATACCGTCGTGAGTGATAAGGGACACCGTGACTTCTGCCTAAATTGCAATGGTGAAGTTGGTATCTCTTAACAAACAGAGACTTGTATTCCGCCATGAAATAACATTAGCTTCATTGGGTTTGACGTTGCAAATTGTTCCATTTCGGGACCAGATAGTCAGCTCTATCAAAATTATTTGCTGTTGAACGGGCAAAAGAATATGCTTCTGGGATTCTTGCCTCTAGGCTGGTTTTAGTTGGAAGATACCTGGAGAAACCATACATGTAGACATACTGTGATAGCTGTATCCACTAACATGCATTCGCCCCATTACAGATTTTTCCTCTTAACGCGTGCTACGCGCGAGACGCGTTGGATCGCGTAACTGCTGAAGTGGCAGATGATGGATTTGACGCGAAGCAACCAGGGTTTTGGACAGACTATTGGTTACACTGTTAGTCTGCGACTCTCGGACTGGACTACCAGTCGGCTTGGCAAAAGTCAGACTGGACTATTAGGAGCGCTGCTATGACGGTACAAGGGCACGAGCAAGGTCGAGTGCGACTTGGATAAAGCGATTGTTCACAAGGAGAGTCAGAGCTTCCGAAGGAAGCTCTGACTCGAGCTATCTAAGCTAAAATGGGGCCGTTCCCTTACAGCCACCGTATTTCTGACAGTATGCTGGCAATTGTAAAGGAGAAGGCCTCCAGTTTCGATCCTTCTTGCGCCGAATGTGGCAGCTGCATTGCTCCTCCAACACCGACCACTAAATTGCGGGCCGAGCTATGTACTGCAGCGTGCACACTCCACCCCGCAGTGGCCTGTTCATGTGGTGTTTTCTCGGCCACTATCTCGACTGTCGAATCTCATTGTGGAGTCGGGCATAGACCGGGGTGGGGCCACCAAGTGGCAGGCGACTTTCCGTTTCCGTCAAAACTACCCGAAAAGGAAAATTAGCCGCTACCCCCAAGTTCCGATTGGTCCAGTGTCGTCGAGGATACCGGGTTCCGTTTATTGAGACGAGCACTCTTAGCTGCTCCCACTTTGATTGGACTTCGCTACATCCCACACGGAGAAATGCCGAATGCCGCAGCCACAAGCCGCTACATGTGAAGGCTTGGCAGTCTCCTGTCATGAATAGTCACCGATGAAACGCCTGGGCGCCCTCTTGTAATAAATAGTCACCGCCGGCATCACTGAGCCTCTGTACAGTTTAAGCAATAGGTCAGCCATGCAGGGGTGCTGAAATTACGACTGATCGTGCGCACCCCACTTTTGTGTTAGGGGAATTTGGGCAATTTACGCTC